TTTTGGGCCAAAGATTAGTTATTAGCTTTGGGCTTAGCATCTCTTTTATATTTTCTGTCCAACTTACTATTAACTATTGATAAACCATTATTATATTTGTAGGGGCTAATATTTTATCCTTTTCATCACCTAACTACTATTTTATGCTCATAAAAATAAATCCACACCAAAATACTTATAAAACAATTACAAGAAATAACAGACTAATTAAAAAAATTATAAATGAGCATCACGGATTGTTGAACATTGGCTAACAAATCTCAGGCAAACTAAACTCAATAAGCTACTAAAAGGAAAAACTTATAAAATTAAAAGAAATCATATTTCCTTTTCATGAAACATGCATTAAATACGAGATAATCTTCCGGCCTCAAATATACATTGCAACGGACAAGAAAAAGACAACGAGCTATGAGCCAAAATATTTTAAAACATGGTGTCAACCACAATTAAATAAGAAGTTCAACATTCATTACACATGCTTACATACAAAATCCTACACAAAACAAGATATTTAAAGTTCAAAAAGAAGCTGAATAACACTTAAATCTGCTTCATTCCTATTCGTTTTTGACTCAAAATTACAGTAGCACTTTGAGAGAATTACCTGGATAGCAGAAAGAAAATGTCAGCAGGGAAGAACTAAATTTCAGCAACAAAAATAGGAGAAAACAGCAGCAAAATCGTGTTTAAACAGCCCGAAAACCTTAGAGAAGAAACCCAGAATCAACTCTAAAAGACTTATTCTTTTTTGAAAGAGTTTTGACTCTAAGAAGCACTCATAAAGCTACAATTTCAGCTTACTTTCTTTAAGTTCAGCTACTGATTATTACTCCTAAAATTATTTTTTTTAGTGTGTAAAAATGTCTAGCAAATGTGTGATAGAGTGTATGTAAAGTGAGGAAAGGGCTGCCCTTAAGTAGTCAAAGAAAGTCACTTTTTGGGCAGATTTTGGTTCATCAAAAGTCTGTCCAAAAGGACTAACTTTTGTGTGCTAAACACTGTTCAAAGGCTGTCCAAAAGGTGAAAGGACAGCCTGAAAATCTGCTATAGCAGAAACAAGGAGAAAAAATGTCATTTCAGCCACCCTACTAGTAAAAAGTAAGTTACTAGTGCCCTATTTCATCATTTACCTTTTACCCTTCACAAAATAATAAACTAACTAACCAATTCAAACCAATGTAAAAACAGAAAATTCAGCATTTTAAAACTTCAAAAACTAATGCTAAAATAATTAATAAGAGGCAAAAAAAATAAAAATCTGAAAAAATAATAAAACAAATCAACCATGAAAAAAGAATAGTATTTTTTACCATTTTAAATTTCAAGTGGCCGAAAAATGGTGGCATGCCAAACGAGGGCGTTCGGGGAGGTCGCTGGAATTTGGCCGGACTTTTGGTCGCCGAATTTTTGGTGTAGAATTGACATCAATAGGTAGGTATTGAGGAGCTCTATCCGTTGATGTAGGTATTGTGGGGTGTTAGTGGCCGGAACTTCAAGAATTTGGGCAAAAAAGTTGCGGCTTAAGTTTCCTAGATCTAAAATTCAAGGAGTTTGAGGGTTTTGTTAAGGATTTGGTTTATAGATATGTAAAGAGGAGAATGTGGAGATTGTATGGTGCGATTTTTGGGTGATTTGGAGGTGGTCGGCCGCTGGTGGGCGATTTCCGGCTGCGGTGGAGAGGCGGCGGTTATGGAGAAAGAGAGAGTGAAGAGAGAGGAAGGAGAAAAGAATTATGGGGGAAATGGGGCAAAATTTCAGCATTTCTAAGTCTTAAATACCTAGTTGGGAGATTGATTGTGGACCATTTGATGAGGGAGAGATGAATGGATGAGATTTAGTTTTGAATCACTTAATGAAACGACGTAGTTTTGAGGCAAAACTACGTAGTTTCGGACCCTTTCAATGGCAACCCCTTATCTTGCACTCTTGGCCACTTTTTCTTTCAAATTTGGCCAAATTTCTTCCTTAATCCTACTTATTAAACTAAATTTACACAAAAACAAATAAATTAATTAAATAACTTATTCAAATGATCAATTAACTAGATTGACTCACCAATTAAAAAGTTAGTCAATTCCTAAAATGCACAAATGAAGGAAGAACTATTATTTTTTGGTATTTTCATGATAGGAAATATGCAATTAAAGACACAAAATTTGAGAAAAACAATTAAAATAACAAAATACTAATAACTTTAGGAGGTTTTAAAATAGTGCAAAAATTAGGTGTTCACAGGCCCGAGGCCGCAGTTTGTGCACATATATATTGGGCTTGAGGCCACAATTTACTTATTCAGGTAAACAAGTGGATCATCATTCAGAAGAGGGAGTATTCATTTCCTTACTTCCTTTGTTCAGTTCATTTATCAGTTATCAATTCATTTATCAGTTATCGGTTATCAATTATCAGTTCAGTTTCAGTATTTACAGTTAATTCTTTCAATTGTTTCACATACCATTGCAATTCAAATGTACTTACATCCCTTTTGCCCGGTGCCTGCATTTCGGGATGTAGGTAACAATTTACAGGTTGACGATTCTGCTTGCTAGGACATCTCGTATCGGCTATTGGTGAGCCCTAGTCTTTCGGGGCATTACCCCTCTTTTTCATTCTTTATAGTATTCAGTTAATAAGGTTTACGAGGGTCCTTGTCCCGGTAAACCGTTAGCATTTCAGTATTCTTTAGAGGCTTCGTAGACTGTAGTCCCAGTCAGTAAGATATTAACAGGCTTTTAGTTGTCAGCCTTGTTGGCTACTCGTTTATACTTGCAGACTTTTCAATACTTTCCACATTTATGATATTTCAGTCATACTCTTTAGTAGATCAGCATGATGCATGTTTATTCAGATTACAGTTAGACCACATGTTGATCCAGCCATCCAGTTGGTTCACTCGGTCACATGCAATTAGGCACCAGGTGCCGTGTTGCGCCCACGCCATGGTTCGGGACGTGACAAATAGTCGACAAAACGTATATCTTTTGTGTATATATGTGTATTATATACGTATAATATCCGTATTTTATACATAATTTTTACTAGCAAATGCCATCAATTTTGGCTGACCAACCACTTTTATATTTTTGTCAAAGTAAAATAAAATCAGTAATTGGTGGTGATGTTCCTTTTCAAAATCTCTAGTTAATATTCATGGATATTAGCTAACAAAGACAGATTAGGATTAAGGAGTAACATACAGAAGAGAGTCAGGTAACAGAGTGATTTTCCACGTCATTGATTCCGAAACCCCTCGCAATAAAAATCTGAGCCGTACAGGTTACAGAATTGACGTGCCTGATTATCACACCAATCCCCAAAGCACCAAACACTCCACGTCATCGATCCGCAGCTTAAAGCATACCTAAACCAATCAGAACCGTTGATTACACACCCATCCAATTATAAACCAACGCACACGATCACCTTTTCATTCCTCCACGTCATCGATCCACTACACCAAAACTCTCTAAATCTTCTCCATTCAATTAAATTTCGATCTATCAACGGCCATGATCAGATCTCCTTCTCCCCTCAAATTTCTTTAAATTTCCCCTCCTCTCCCTCCATTTCCATCACATTCCAAATCTCAAAATCCTTCAAAAGCTCAGTAGCTCTTTCATCCAAATCCTTAAAGCCCTAATTCCCAAATGGCTCGTACAAAGCAAACCGCCCGAAAATCCACCGGAGGCAAAGCTCCGAGAAAGCAATTAGCCACCAAAGCTGCCAGAAAGTCAGCTCCAGCCACCGGAGGAGTGAAGAAGCCTCACAGATTCAGGCCAGGGACTGTGGCGCTTCGTGAGATCCGCAAGTACCAGAAATCAACTGAGCTTTTGATCCGTAAGCTCCCGTTCCAGCGTTTGGTTCGTGAGATAGCTCAGGACTTCAAGACCGATCTCCGTTTCCAGAGTTCGGCTGTGGCTGCGCTGCAGGAAGCTGCTGAGGCTTATCTCGTTGGTTTGTTTGAGGACACAAACTTGTGTGCTATTCATGCTAAGAGGGTTACCATTATGCCTAAGGATATTCAGCTTGCTAGGAGAATTAGGGGTGAGAGGGCTTAAGTGTGAATTTATGGTAGCTATGGGAACTTGTAATCAAGTATATGGTAGATGAGTTTCTAGGCTTTGCAGTGCATTTTGGTTCCAGAATTTTCTCAATTTTGGATATGTGGTTGAATTGAAAATATTTTAATGAAATACCAGTGTTTCTTTGCCAAATTGTTGTTTTAATTTCCTTTTTTATCAGCGCTTCTTTGCCAAATTGAAGTCTTAGTTATTTTGATGTATATTTATGAACATGTGTTTATATGTATGTGTAGTTATGTGGGGTTAGATAATACTCGGGCTGTCAACAATTTCTTTTTTATTGGTTGTGCAACATGTGGAAGTGTTCATTTTAGTGAAGCTGCAGATTTATAATGTACTTCCTTTGTATTGCCTATTTTAAGAATCCATTGGGATTTTATTTTGATGATTATATCCATAGTGTTTGTGTGTGATTAACTTATGTCTTTTTATACTTTGACTTTTTAACCCATCCTGTAAACAATCTTTTTGCCTTCTTTTTTCTTTTTTTGGTTGTTGTTTTTTTGGTGGGTAAATAATCATATGAATGGATTAGTCGCAGGTAGCATGTGCAAATTTGCCATATGGATTAGTCACACTATATTTATGTCCTTATGCTTTTAATTGTATAAAAGTGTTTAGTGAGTTATACAATGTACCAATTAAAATGTAGAAAATATAAATAATGGTAAATCTGCAATTTTCACACTAATGTGAATCATTTAAGGTTCTCCTTAAAGTCAGGATTGGTATTCTCTCATTTTAGTGGCACAGATAATATCCCAATTAGTTAAACTCTATCTCAAATTGCTCAAGTTGTGGATAGCTACAAAATGCTTGAAACTGTTAATCAATATCTGCCATGGTGAAGTCTAAGGATTTGGTGGATGTAAATTACTCGTAGCTAACAAACATAAGGCATGCCCAACAAGTGTCATAAATTTTTGCAAAACCATCCAATTTTAATGATAATCCACTAATCTCCCTTCCTTTTATCCCTCGTATTCTCCTGTAGTTTTGAATATCATTTTGATGACATTTTCATGTGCATCTTGCCAGTATTTTGTCTCGGTTGCCTTGCAATATTGGGTCAAATCTTATTTTCATTGGGGAGTTGTTCCTTTCTGTAGCATCTGTTATGGGACACTCATCCTTTTGCTAATCTTTTCTCCATCTATTCATACCAAACCAACAATACTAGGATCATCTCATTCATCAAACAAACCTATGGCTGGTACTGTATATTTGAGAACTAATAGATTTGAGGTTAAACTAGAAGGCATTACCTTTAAAGCCAAAGAGTTTGAATCTTTATGCACAGTTGATTTTCTTTTTCCGGAAGGTAAGATTTGGGTTCGTCCGCCTGTTGTTGGCCTTGATGTCATGCGCCACCCTCGTGATCCCTCCATAATTTTGGTTCTCTTTTGTTTCGGAGTAGGTTGTCTGATCCTCAGGTTCCATTCTGGAGAACAACTACCTGATCCTGTCCTAAAATTCCTTACTGATGAGAGGATCCGTTTTGTTGGTTTTGGAATTCCAGAAAAGAAAGATTTGTTCCCATTTGAAGAATTAGGCTTGACTAAAGATAAAGTAGACATTGGCTACCTGGCCACCAAGTATTTCAACAATCCCAAATATAAGCGGTGTGAATTAGGAGAATTGGCGCGCAAAGTTCTTGGGATCAAGAGAATGATAGGTCTTACAGAGGCTTCATCCTTCGAGAGACACGAGCAAATTAAATGCGCTATCTGTCAACTTTTCATATCAACTGTGATTGCCATGTCATTATTCACTACAAAAGATAAGAAAAAATTGGCAGATGCTCCAAAGAAGACCTCATTTCTTAAGAATCTGTCTTCTCTGCCTTTGTTGAGTGAAGGTTGGTTCAAATTGCCTAAAGGAAAAAAGGGAGACAAGAATCTTTCATTGCAAAGAAGTACAGATGTTCTTGTTCGGACATCATCAGAGGAAGAAGATTATCTTGTTGACGCTGTAAACAAACATAAAGAAGGTACCAATGGTAATGACTTAATACAAGCTAAAATTGCAGAGTTTACCTTGTGTGACGATTCTGCTGATTTTTGGGGTGATAAAGAAGACGCCATGGTTGATGATCGTGTCCAAGAAAAAAGTAGTGAGTGTAAATTAGATGGTGTCTCTCCTCATGTAAGTGGAGGTGAATCCGGTTCTGGCGAGGATCTTGTCCTAGTCGAAGTTAGTGAGCATAAGTCAGGTGATGATTCTGCTTATGCCAAGGCTAAAGAGAGTAGTGCAAATGATGAACCCAAGGAGGAAGCTTTAGTCAGTTTGGAAAATGATGATTCCAAGAAGGAGGCAGCCTATTTGAAAAAAAGGCCTATAAAAGGGATCCTGAAATGTCCATCTGCAGGTCTGGAAGCTTGGAATTCACTTTCTCCTAATCCTGATTCCCCTGTATCAGTGGACAATGCAAAAATTTCATTGAGAAGAGCCAATTCCAAGGGGTATAATGTTTGCTTTAAAGAACAGTGGCTGTGAACTGCTGGTGTATGTATATTCCATGCCCCGCTAAGTGTCCACGTTGTTTTTTTTGTTTGTGCTCCATGTGTTATTCTAGAGCCATCACACTTTGTACATTTCCATTAGACTGGCTGTTGTAATGTTTGTTATATTATCAGACTTGTATGTTCCACCTCATCTCCTCGTGCTTCCACATCCTCGTGTTTCCCTTCTCGTATAGTCTCTATGGTTGTGTGACTGGAAGCACTGACCGAGGTTGGAATTCATTACATTGTTTCTGTTGAATATTGTGTGAAATCTTACGCTGTTAGGATACTTTCATCTATTCGTTGACATGTTTAACTTGTCCCTTCACGTGCGAGATCATACAATTTTGTGCCCTGCAAAGCTATTGAGAATTCTTTGATCATGATGATGGCGGCGAGACTTGAAATTAGTACCACAACTAGTATATTCACAAACTTCCAGTTAGCTTTCCTGGAGGCGAACAAGTTTCAGGAGAGCTAATTTTGCTGTGCCTTTTATAGAACCTTATCAAAATTTGAGGGGTTATTTTAAGCTGAAGCTTAACATATGGAGCAATAACAGAGGTAGCTAGTAGAGCTTTCAAATTTGTATTTTACTTTCTTGTTAATCAATCAATCTGTTTCCTCAGCAAAGAAGATTAGATTAAATGGCAAACAAATATGATCAAACTGCTTTAGAAGATTGATTCCGAAATGATGAGTTTGGTAGTGAAGGACTGCAAAGAAATTTTTGAAGAACTGGATTCCTTGGTTGATATTGGAGGAGGCACTGGTGTTATGCTAAGACTATTTTGACTGCATTTCCTCATATAATATGCACAGTTTTAGACCTCCCTCATGTTGTTGCTAACATGCCAGAGACAGAAAATTTAAACCCCCTACTGATGCCATTTTGTTTAAGGTAAGAAGATGCTTAACTTTAGTAACAGTTGCAAGGAAACAAAAAGTAAAAGGCCCGTTCTACTTTATCCTAGAAATTATAACTCTTTCATTTAGGTATGAAAAGCAGCATAAAACGAGATTAAGCACGATGACAATTATCTGAAATGAGAACTACATTAACGTAAAGAACATTCATTGGTAGTTCAAGTTACCGATTTTTGGTGAGGAGTTTTTCTCTTTATCTATCTTCCGTTTGCTCCTTTGATGAAAATTCTTCAGTGCTGCATATGCTCTTCCAACTTCTCTGAGTTACCATTTCTTAGAAGACTTGTGCATGGTGAAATATAAAAATAAGTCTTTTCAATTAAGTAGCCATATTACACTCAAATTCCCCAATAGTCCGAGTCAACTATTATATTGAAAAGTTTGAGTTTTTGGCCAATTGTCCCTTATCTTTGAGTGTCGGTTTATTTTGGTCCCCAAATATAACTCTGAGCATATTTAATCCCTTAAGTATGCTAAAGTGGAACATCTTTAGCCTCACTGACAGAATATGTTCAAAAACTAACAGTGGTAACCAACTCTAATTCATGAAGCAAATCTTCTGCTCTAAAGCAAAATGTTTCCTCTCCTTTTATTGGATAACGCAAATTATCACTTTAACTCCTCAAAATGTTAATATACAAAAATTATACGAATTTTATAAACTTTTTCGGCCACCAGATATAAATAGTTTCTGGCGCGGGAGTTATAATACAATCTGGTTATTCGTTTGCTTCAATAATATGCCTAGAAGTGATCTTGGCAGCTCTATTTTTTCTTTCTTTCAAATTTTACCTCTTCTCTTCGGAAAAACCGAAATTTTTAAAAATAAAAGTGTCAACGTTAAAATCTTAAATTTATTATGTACTCCGTTTGGGATCCACAATATATCGTTGAAAATCTATTTGACAGAGCTACAACTTTCATGTTTTGCATTTTTGCGAATTCCCACTATCGCGACGCGTGGAGCCGCACAGAGCGCGCCACGCCTGTGAAATTTCCTGCAGCCTGTCAAAATCAGCAATTGAACTTTTCCACTACCGCCCCACATGGCGCGTTGCCCCATGTGGCGCGATAGGGCAAATTTTACAGAGTGATTGTCCTATTTCGCACGGGAGAAGGTGTTTTTGTTTGGGCCCGACCCTACTTGGTATAAATACATGTAAAAATGCTATTTTGAGGAGCCGGACATACTTTTGACACACTTTAGATCTAGAGAGAGAACGGAGTCGCCGTGGAGACCAGGGATTCGACCTAAAGAGGCAAGAACACACTAGGAGCGATGCGGAGAATTCTTCTACGAGTTTTTCACTTCCTTCTTCCCATTTTCCATTATTGGTTATGAGTTCTAGTATTTTATTTGCATACTATTATGAATAGCTAATTTGTTATCTAAGGTTTTGATGGACCCTTTTGGAGGATGATTTTCCTGTTACGTTAATATATATTTGCTGTAGTATTTTCTCTATTTGTTCAACTACGTTATTATTGTGGTTGGTTGAAGAGCTCTCAATCGACTGTGCCTATTTAGTGTGTATTACTCGGGAGAGAGTGCATATTAAGGTAGTTGTTGAATAACATCACTCCTAACGTATATGATGGATCAATACGAAGGGTTTAAAGGTGGGATTAGGGATAATGAAACCTTGGTACGATCTAAGTGAGCTGTGCTTAAGGCTAGCTAGCGTAATTCGGGAGAATATGTCTATTATATTGTTGTAATTACTCAGGAGAGAGTTACGACAACCAGAGTGCTCATGATCGGTAGAGAAGACTTAGGAAAATTTATAGAAAACGTAGCGAGAAGGATTCTGACAATAGGAAAAATCATAATTCTAGACCTCCTTAATCTTGTCTTTAGCCCTTAGTATCTTTAGTTGTTAATTTATTATTTTAAATTATTATTTAATTAGTTAAACACAAGAATCTTAATATCTATAGGTTAGGAATTGTTCAAGTTTGTCTTCTTGGTAATAGTGAACAGTTGTAGCTTAACATTAGTTCTCTGTGGGATTCGACTCCGGACTTGTAAACCGAATTACATTTGCAACGACCGCTTAGTCCTTTTTATAAGGCATAGTTGGGCGTGATCAAAATTTTGGCACCGTTGCCGGGGAACTAACAATGTAGTTTTAGTTGTTCATATTACTAGGTTTCAAGTTTGAACTTTATTTTTTGCTTTCTTGTATTTGATTTTTTTATTTTTGTTTTACTTGTTAATTTTAAAAACATGGCATTTTGGAATTATGAGTGTTTTGATGTTGGTAATTCTACTTTTAATCCTCCTCATGTATATTGTGAAGGAAACCACCCATTGCAAAACTATCAAAATTTACCCGAGAGCGAGTTATGTGCACCAACTCAATCTTATGTGTGGAATGTGTGTGATATGTGTGGTGGTCAAGATGGTCAATTTCATGGTTGTGATTATTTGTCTTATCCTCCCCCAACCCCTTACTATGATGGTTCTACTTTCCTTGGTGAAGTTAATAGGAACAAAGAACCCTGGGAAGCTGACCTGAAGGAGATCAAAGATATGTTAAAGTGTTTCATGGAACTATATGATAAGAAGTCACTGCAGATACAAATGCAAGAGGCAACTATTCACCACTTGAGGCTCAAGCGAATAAACTAATTGAACCTTGTAAAGCTCAACAAGCTTACATTGTGGAGAGTAGCCAAGAAGAGTACGAATTGGCTGCAGAAATTGCCATTATAATTGAAGATTCAAAAAAATACGAGGAGATGCTAGTGGAGGAGGTAGAGTAAAGCAGAAATTGCCATTATTTGAGCGCGTTGGACCTCATTCCAAATACTTCTGTACATTATATTTAGACAGTGAAATGGAAATTAATCTGCATGAGCCAATGCAAGAGTTAAAGGAAGAGGTAGATGGGCGCTATATTCTGAAATTTTCAAGGTCGTCTAGGAAAAATGACACTCCTCGATTGAAAGCCAAAAAATTCAGAAAGTATCATTTAATTTTTGGCTCGCAACAATTTGTATGGCCCTAGGAGCACGATTATAGAGCAAAATCAAAACTTGGGGTCCAATTCATAAGTTCTAAATGGAGGCAGAAAGTGATTCGCGTCGTGCCGCGACGTTAAATCAAGCGCTTGTTGGGAGGCAACCCGACTTTACTGCTTTCTTTTATTTTTTTAGTATTTTTTCAATTATATTATTTTTGTAGTGTAGAATTTTGATTTTCTAGGATCATGGAAAGCAAAGCTACTGGAAGGATGCAACAACAAACAAGATGGTTGGAACTAAGTGTGGGTACTCGCATGAAGGGCCAAGCCCAGGAGAAGTCTGCCTACCCCAAGAGCTGCAAGTGCTTCGGCCTTTGGCCTACCAGGGAGTTTCTTTTACTCTCTTATTAGTATGGTGTGCATTGGGGACAATGCAAAATTTTAAGTGTGGGGTGAGGAGATTGTCAGGGTGACTTTCTATGCTATTTTAGTTGTGTTAGTTTAATTGAATAATATTTTTTTTAGAACAAAAAAATATTGGACTTTTATCGACGGTGGATATCCTAGACAATTTTCTTGAGGGACTTAAGTCTAAAGAAAAAGGACAATAAGATTTTCTTTGTAGGTAGTGTAGTAATTCCCCTTTGGTTTTTCTTTGTGCCGCGGTTCTTTTCCAAGGGTTTTGTTTGAATCGAGTGTAGTTAGTTTAATTTTTTTAGGAATAGTAGCCATTGTGACGTGTTTTGAATTGAAGCAATATCTCTTGAATTTGTTATGCCTTGAGAATAGTGAGTACGTTGGTTGTGACGTTTAGACTCAGTTTTTGATTCTTGTATAAGTATCTTCAATTGTATGATCTTAATTTTTTTTAACTGCTTTTACTAGAGTGTCTTGATGAGTCCAATCCTGAGTGAGTTATGTGCCATGTGTGTGTGAGGTTTGTGTGTTATTCTGTACATTGCATTTGATGTCTAGAACTTGCCCTGTGTGTTTTCAAAGCGAAATAGTAGTTTTGTTCAGTCTTGGAAGTGATATAGGCGTTTCTTTGTTGAGCCATATATATATTTTACCCCCTAATTGTTATGTAACGTAGTTAACCCCTTTGAGCCTGTAATCCCGTTTCTTTGGCAACCACATTACAAGCCTTACCCCTTTGTTTGAATTAACCATGTATTTGAACCTGTTCACCTCTCATAAGCACTTGAATTGTTATGAACGTTGTAAAAGTTAAAGTGTGGAGTGGTTGGTTCGGCTTTTGAATGGAACTAATAAAATAAAGAGAAAGATGCACTGTTTGAAAGAGCAAGAGCCACTTGAATTGTAAAAGAAAAGACAAGAAAAATAATAGTTGTATTGTGTGCAGATATTCATTGATAAGTGGTAACTCTTGATATAATTGTGCTTAA